CGAGCCTCAGGATTCTCATGTATAAAGTGGGCTGAAATTTTGTGTCTGGTGGGGTTGCTGGGAGGCATTGATAAGATGCTGAATGTAAGCTCCGAGCACCAAGAAGCTCTGTGTATACCAAGTGCTTAGCGTGTGTATGACTGTGATTAACACGTGTGTGTTATTTCCCCTTGATTTCTCAGGATGCTTTCTCAACTCTTGGTTGGAGGAGAGTGGAAATCCATATTTAATAATTGAATAGTCAACAGTCAAATAGTTAACAATGGATTAAATGACATTTTATTTTTATTTTTATTTTTTTGAGACAGAGTTTCACTCTGTTGCTCAGAGTGGAGTGTGGTGGAACTATCTTGGCTCACTGAACCTCTGCCTCCCAGGTTCAAGTGATTCTCCTGCCTCAGCTTCCCAAGTAGCTGGAATTACAGACACCTGCCACCATGCCTGGCTGATTTTTATACTTTTAGTAGAGACGGGGTTTCACCATGTTGGCCAGTCTGGTCTCAAACTCCTGAGCTCAAATGATCCACCTGCCTTGGCCTCCCAAAGTGCTGAGATTACAGGTGTGAGTACTGTGCCTGGCTGGATTCAATTACATTTAATGCGCATTTCTCATAAACCCATCGCGTGTGAAATATATTGCAAATGGTTTCTCATGGCTTTTCTCCTTTTAAGCATCCTGCCTTGTAAATACGTCCATGTACTTTTTGGAGAGACAGGGTCTTGCTCTGTCACTCAGGCTGGAGTGTCATGTTACAATCATGGCTCAATATAACCTTGAACTCCTAGGTTCAAGCAATCTTCCTGCCTCAGCCGTCCAAGTAGCTGGGACTGCAGATGTGTGCCACTACCTCTAGCTAATTTTTCAAGTTTGTTATACACATAGGGTCTTGGTGTGTTGTCCCAGCCGATCTCGAACTCCTGGCCTCAAGCAATCCTCCAGCCTCAGCCTCCCAAAGTGTTGGGATCACAGGCATGAGCTATCACAACCAGCCAATATTTTTATTGTCAAAATTGTTAAAATACATTATACATAAGAAAAATGCACATATGTAAATATCTCAATGAGCTTTTAGAAACCAAACATCCCTTCCCATAACCAGCACCCAGATCAGGACACAGAATGCTATGAGCTCTCCAGAAGCCTCCTTCAATGCCCTCTTAGCATCTAACCCTTGCCCCAAGGTAACCACTCTCTTATTTCTAGCAGCACGGATTAGTTTTGCTATTTTTGAACTCACATAAATGGGAGATGCAACATGTGCCCTTTTTCTTTCATGGAACACTCTGTTTATGAGATTCATCCATTTGGCTATGTATAATTGTAGGCCATTTCCATCACTATGGAGATTCCAGTGGGTGCGCAGCCCACAAGATATCTTCCCATTCTATTTTTCATTCTTTGATGGGCACTGGGGGGATGTTGAGTTTGGGGTTCTGATGAACGTTGCTGCTATGAGCTTCCTTGCCTTTTGCCACATATGTGCATGTATTTTTTTTTTTTTTTAAGACGAAGTTTCGCTCTCGTTACCCAGGCTGGAGTGCAATGGCATGATCTTGGCTCACCGCAACCTCTGCCTCCTGGGTTCAGGCAATTCTCCTGCCTCAGCCTCCCGAGTAGCTGGGATTACAGGCACGCGCCACCATGCCCAGCTAATTTTTTGTATTTTTAGTTGAGACGGGGTTTCACCTTGTTGACCAGGATGGTCTCGATCTCTTGACCTCGTGATCCACCCACCTCGGCCTCCCAAAGTGCTGGGATTACAGGCATGAGCCACCGCGCCCGGCCCTGTTTTATTTTTTTTTTTTTAATATATTTTTACCTATTTTTTTATTACACAAAATGTGTAAGAGAACAAATAGTGGTGAAATGTTAAGTTCTCAACTTTCATAATGAAGTAGTTTAAGATACATTCTGAATGTCAACAAGTAAAAGGTTTCAACAATTTTATTTAACCATTTAAGTAGCATAAATTTCAATGCAACAGAAGGCCATGGAAAATCAACACTACTATGATATTTGTGCTTAAGTATTAATTGTTTGAGGACATAAAGTGTTAATATTCTTTACCTTTACACTAGCCAACTGAAGTGGAAAATTGAGGTAATTCCCACAAGGAGAAATCACATTTGCTTCAATTATGTGGATACTTCAGATGAAAATAACTTGTATGTCATAATTACCTACATCATTCAACTTTATATCTTGATGCAACTTTGGTATGTCAGTTTCAATGATGGGGAATTTTTAAAAAATACAATTGTCATACTTTATGGAGATTTATGTTCTAAAATTAAGTCCAAAAACCTTAGGTATCAAAAGACATGTTTTCTTATCGGATGAAATAAGGTAACTGTTTCAAAATTATCGTAATAAGATATAAGCCAGTGATGACTTATAATACAAGTAAGTATCTTAAAAATTGATTCTTTTGAAGGTCACTGTGAAATACCTAATGCAACCAAATCAAAATTTGGAAGTAAATATCAGCAGTTCCCTGCCAGCACATGTGGTTTAAAGATTTCTTATGCAAGGAAACATGTTGCCCAGCTTTATAAGGGCATAAATATAATTTAGAACACACAGTGATCTAAAACCCTAACCTGCTGAGAATACAGTAGGTAGTGGAATTGCTGAGCTGTGAAGCAAGCCTATATTTAACTTTAGGAGATGCTTTTTAAAGTGGTGGTAGAATTAATCTCCCACCAGCAGCCTGGAAGAGCTCCTGTCGCTCCACATTTCACAAGGCTTCTATTCCCATTTTGCAAATAATGAAGACCGAAAGGCAACATGCTTTGTCCCAAACACAGCTAGTGAATCCTAAGACTAGACTTCATCCACTCATTGGGCCACAAATATTTACTAAACGCGCACTCTGTGCCAGCTGTATGCTGGGGCTGGGATTCATGGGTCTCCATGCTGCGTGGCACTTAAACCCTCATGGAACTGCTGGTTGGGTTGAATTGAAGGTGAGCTCAGATGTGTTTGGTGCCCACATTTTTGCTTTTCCACTCTCCACAACCCCTGGAGCCCAGCAATATTCTTGACATATATTGGGTGCTCAGTAAATGTTGAATGGATAAATGAGAGAATGAGAAATCTCAATAGGCCCCTCTCTGCATAAAGAGCAAAGCCGTAGATGGGCTTCTGGCTGCAAAATAGAGGCCAAGCGTGTTTTGGTTTTTTTCCCTGGTATTTCTGGGCTGATGAGCAACTGTAGGGATATTCGCTCTCAGGAGAATACTTCATCAGGTCTGACTTCTAGACCTAAGACTCAGGGCCGGGGCAGGAGGGACCTCTACACCCTTCAGAGATAAGAGTTTATTGGGGGAAAGAATGGGATGTTCACAGAGCCTGGGGTAAAGGCTTTAGGGTAGCAGAAGCCCCACTCTAAGGGAGACTTGAGGTCCCAAGATGTGAACTCTCCTGATCAGCAGTATTCAGCTGGGGGACTCTCCAGCCTGGCATATGGAGGGTTGGCTGGATTCATGGTGGGTTGGTTCATGAGCAGCCTCCTGTCCTGTAAAGAGGAGAGGTAGCATCTGTCACCAGCGTGCCCACCTCCCAACTCCTGCACTGAAGGGAAACCCTTTTCCATCCATCCATGGTGACCAAGGGCAGCTGCCAGAAGCATTCATGTGAAAACCCTCCCCAAATGATGCTGAATTTATTTGCTTATCGGTGTCTTCACTTCACTAGTCTATGAACTCTATATGGGCAGGAACTGCAACTGTTTATCTGTAACTGGAGTAGAGGTGGTCTCAGGTTTGGGGTGAGGCCGGTGCTCCCTACTTGATTGGGTGGAGATCTTGGGAGAAGCTAGAAGCTCTGATAACCTGAAGACTGCAGTGACTTGGCAGGTCACAGCCTGCTTGGTAGGGGTGCCTTCTGCTGTCCTAGCTCTCTTGGGGGACAGTGTGGCCATCGTAACATGGTCACCTCTAAAGTATTCTCATAGCATATGCAGACACGCCCCTTAGTAGGCCTCCCTGGGGGCTCCAGGGCCGGGGGTACCTCTTTCAGCCAGTTGCCAGTCCTAAGGAGTTCTCACTGGATGCACCAGACACTCATCCATGAGGCTTTTCAACAGTTTCACATCCAGCTGCTCAAGGATTTCCCTGATCAGAGGACATACCTGGACCATCAGCACAGAGAGAAGGATCAGACCCGGAACTGGAAAAGGAACACTGATGTGCCTGTGGCTGGAAGCTTCAACTCCATGGGACTTTTCCAGTAGGGAGCATGGCCAGAGCGGCTCCCTTGTAGTGAGTGCCAACTACCTGTTCAATGTCATGCACAATGCTTCCATGCTCTGCCCCCCAAATCCTCACCGTGTAAGATAAGGACTGTGGTGGTTCCCATGCTATAGGTGGGAACACTGAGGCTCAGGGAGGTGAAGTCTCATGCTCAAGGATAGGCTGGTAAAACTCATGGCCAAACTTTATTTATTTATTTATTTATTTATTTATTTATTTTTCACTTGAATGATTGTTTCTTTTGCTGTGCAGAAGCTTTGGAGCTTAATTAGATTCCGTTTGTCTATTTTGTTGCCAATGCTTTTGGTGTTTTAGTCATGAAGTCCTTGCCTATGCCTATGTCCTGAATGGTTTGGCCCAGGTTTTCTTCTAGGGTTTTTACGGTGTTAGGTCTTATGTTTAAGTCTTTAATCCATCTGGAGTTAATTTTAGTGTAAGGTGTCAGGAAGGGGTCCAGTTTCTGCTTTCTGCACATGGCTAGCCAGCCAAACTGAAACTTTAAATTGAGATTTTTCAAACTCTAAAACCCAATGTTGAAAATCCTTCTCTAAATTGCCAGTGGATATGCCCTTACCCTCAGACTCAAGGATGCTCATGATGCCAAGTTTTTTCTCAACTTACCTGACTCTCTACCAGGTGTGGGAGAACTTTTTCCAGGTTCTCTATGAAGTTGTGGAGAAAATGTTTCATCTTTGGTGGGATAGCCCTAGAAAGAAAGGTAGATGTGCAGAACAGAACAGAGCAATGCAGGCAATATGAAGGCCAGGAAGGATATATTCAGCACACCTTCCACAGTCTTTTAATCGTCACTCAGTCCTATGCCAGAAGTATCATTGTCAGTGATACGCAAAGGGGTAGCTTGGACCTTGCCCAAGGTCACACAGCTAATAAGTGCTGGTTATACTAGAACCATGGCAATAGAGCACCAGGTTCCACAGTCTTTCCCCTACAATTTTCCCCCATGAGCGTCTGGTACAATCTAGGTACTCAGTGAATATCTGATGAACAAATGAATAGACATCCACTGAGGTCTTCATTGCTTCTGACATTCTGGAATTACAGAGTTGAATCAGGCACAAATCTTGCCTTCAAGGAAGTTGTAGTCAGTCAAAATTGAAGGACTGGGTCAGCCAGTCTATGCAGTTCTATTAAAGCTGCAGGTTGTGTCTTGTTCACCATTGTATCCCAGCATCAGGCATGGTACCTGCCTACAGTAGGTTTTTGGGAAATATATGAATGAATGAGGGATAAGGAGGAGCTTCAGAGAAGATGGGAAGGGCATTCCAGGCAAGAAGATCAGCGTGTGCAAAGGCAGAGTGGTGTGAAAACGTATGGTGTGTGGTGGAGGGTAAGGGGCTGCAGAGTTGGCAGGGGAGAGGACAAGCAGGGCCTTGAGTGAGATTTGGGACTTGCTCTTTATCCAGAGGGCACTGGGAACCACTGGAGGCTTTGGAGCAGGGGCTTGGGCATGGCCAGGTTTCTGGGTTAGAAATTTGTTTATTTCTGCTGCAGGGTGGAGAACGGAGTGTAGGAGGGGAGATCTGAGCCAGAAAAGGCCAGGAGGAAAGTTATTTCTGCCGCAGGTGGAGAATGGAGTGCAGGAGGGGAGATCTGAGCCAAGAAAAAGCCAGGAGGAGGCTCTTGCAGTGCTCCAGGTAGTGGAGTAGAAGCTGGAGCAGTGGCTGTAGGGATGGAGATGAAAGTGAGAAGCTGAGGGCTGCTGGGAAGTCATTGATGGGAACTGGTGACAACGGGCCTGAGAAGCGAGGAGGAAGAAGAATCTGGCTTCTGGGAGGGTGGCAGGGCCGTCACAGATGGGGACAGAGGAGGAGAAACAGATCCTGGGGGAAGGATGAGATCTGTTTTGGACTCATCTAGGAGATGGTGGGGAAGTGACGCTGCAGCTAGGGCTTGTCAGGAAGGAGGCCCAGCTCTGGGGAGGGGCAGCCGGGGCCTTACTCGGTGAGGATAGTCATGTGGACACTGCTGGGCTCTGCATGGCATTTGCCTATCATGAGATCCCTCCGGCCAAACTCGTCTTTCTCCAGCCAGAACTCCACAACGATGCTCACGTGTGCATACGCCTTTATGATGTTGTTATCAAAGGGCCTGCAGATGAAAAAGAGGGAGGAGGAAGGGCAAGGGGAGAAGGGAGAGAAAAAGGCAAAATCTCCATGTTGGCAAAGACGGGCATTGTCCACTGTCAGGGCTTCCCCTGGCACCCTGAGTCCTTTCAACAAACTAGGCACAGTTAAATCCTGAAGCCAATGATGAACGAGAAAATGGCTGTAGCCAGACTGACTTTGAAAATCCCTTAAATAGGCCTCTGGAAATTTAAACATTGAGAGTTAATCTCTGCTTTAAAAATCTTTCCCGTTGTCAAAGGACAGTCTGAAGAGGAGGGTAGTGAGCAGGGGCTTGAGATGATTATGGCAGTTCTCCCTTTCTTTCTTTAACAGAGCCCAGTCTAGTGAACTCTCATAGATTTGAATGAGCAAATGACTTCCCTCCGCTGACAAATGATTGCCATCCATATTTCAGGTGAAGAAACCAAGGCTCAGAGAGGTGAAATGACTTGCCCAAGGTCACACACACAGCAAGTGGCTTCGGAAGCCAGGATTTGAATTTAGGTTGGGATCAGAAAGATCTAGATTTCCCAAGCTGCCAAAATTCCCCCCAGCTCCCAGGTTCCCTGCAAGGAAGGCCAGCACCTCTCAGATGCTGCTTCTGTATGACTCACAGTCTCAGTTCAAGGTCAAGTTCAAATGAGATGTTTGCCAAGAACCACTCCTTATGGAAAGACATCTGGATCCCATCATAGTCCAGCCGAATGTTGGTGATGTTGATGCTGCACAAGGGAAGTGCAAAGGTGAGGGACCTCAGAACAGGTAAGGCTTCCTGCTGGGAGACAAGGCTGGCCTATCCATAAAGAGGGCCTGGCAGTGGCATTTGGAATGTGATTCTTTTACAGATGCTCTGAAGGCAAGAGCCAGGTGCAGCAGCCCTGCGAGCTGCTCCACAGCGGCCCTGACAGCGCCACACAGTTTTGATTTGTACAACTGGGTCCCCACTCTTTTTTCCTGTGGGTCTTCCACCTTCTCTTCTTTCAACCCTCCTACCTTCCCTTTTCACAGACCTTGCACCTCCCCTCCCCGCATCAGCTCTACCATTCAACCTAGATCTCTATAATGAGTCCCAGGGCCAGGGATGGAACTCAGGGTCTCACCTGCTCTCTTGCTGCTGCTGGAGTTTTGTGCCGTGGATTAGCCAGCCCACCATCCCTGGGGCTACTTGTGCCGAGGCATTCAGTCTGCCCCCAAGGTGGATGTTCTGGATTCGGCTCTCTGCGTTGTGCTTTATGAGGCCTTGGGCAATAACTGGAAATGCACAGGGACCACTGACTTTGCACAATGTCATGGAAAAGGTCGGGGGCTTGGGATTCGGAGACCTGGGTTGCGGGCTCGTGCAAGCTCCGATTGCTTAGTGAGCAGCGCATGTCACCACCTCCCCCTGGAGATCCACCTTCTTCACTTATGAAATTATGCTTTGCAAGATTGATGTGAGAAATAAAGAAAAACACCCGCAGAGGGTCTAGCAGGAAACAGCTGCTCAAAGGGGGTGTTCTGGTTGAAAGTCCCCCCAACACTGTATCTCAGTCTGGAGCACAGAGCTAATATATGGGATGTAGATCGCAGTCAATGTTGGTTGAAGAGAAAAATAGGTGGGTAAGTACGGAGAGAATAGATGTAAATTGCTCCACAACGTGTCTAGAATAAACTGCAGGACCCAGTGGAGCTCCCACCAGAAAAGAATAAACCTACCAAAGGAAGGGAGTTTCTAAGGCTATGGAGATGCTTAAGTCCTGTGTATTTCATCTCTAGACCCCCCTGCCTGGGATGAGGACCCAGCCCTGACCACAGGGCACATTATTTCACTGGTTTGACCTGCCCTGAGATGAGATTCCACACTGAGAATTCTGGGTTGCTGAAGAGCAGCAGAAACCATTGTCGTACCCCATCCTCCTCCTGCAAGACAGCACCTTGGAGTTGTTTGTTTCAGCAATGTTTGTTTCTGTTGCCTACAAACAAGAATGTGTCTGGAGTGGCAGATCTTGATTCAAATCCTGGCTCTGTCATCTCCCTGGGTCTTGGTTTCTTGATCTGTATAACAGGGGCAGTACCTCACAGGGTTTTTATGAGGAATATTAAAACCATTCATTTATTAGTGCATTCATGCATCCAACAAATATTTTTTGAGCATCTACTGGGTGTCAGGTCCCAAGCTGGGCACTGAGGACACAAACCAGTTTTATGTCTACTAGGAGAGGTATTAAACAAATAGTTAAAACAACTAGTTAAAAATAAATAGTTTAAACAACTATTAAACAAATAGTTCTGAGGATAGAGTGAACCTCTAGGTATGCCCAGAACTCTCAGTAGTTCTTGGTTCATGGTCATAGTGGTGCTTGGGAATTGGTGAGTAGCAGACACCAGTGGTTGCCAATCCAATATTCATCCACTCATCCAGCCACTCATCCATCCAGCCACTCATCCATCCGTCCATCCATCCATTCATTCATGATCCGTCTGTCTACTCATCCCTCTGTTCATCCATCCATCCATCCACTCATCCATCCATCCACTCATCCATCCATCCATCCATCCATTCATTCATGATCCGTCTGTCTACTCATCCCTCTGTTCATCCATCCATCCATTCATCCATGATCCGTCTGTCTACTCATCCCTCTGTTCATCCATCCATCCATCCATCCATCCATCCATCCATCCATCCATTTATCCATGTGTTCATTCTAACCTCCTCGTCTGAACCCTGATTTGATTCAAGTACTCCCTTGAATTCCTGGTCTAGATGAGGCTGTTGTTATCTGAATCATCATGTGTACCTCACCCTCACTGACTCTTTTGGGTTCAAAGTTGGCACATGACCCATGTTGGCTCTATCAGACCAAACAGGAGATCTCATCTTTCATGTTTCAGGGAAAATTCCTTTCTCTTTTTCCTATTGGAAAAGGGCAAGACAGCCTATAGTGCCAATGGCCATGGGTCACCATTTTCCTACCACACTGGGAACCAGCATGAGGATGAAACTGTGATGACAGCAGAGCTGAGAAATGGACAAAATCTAGTCTGGATGTGAGCTTTGAACTCATGACTGAACCAAACCTGGAGCTTGTCCTACCTCTGACTTTCAGTTATGTAAAATGATGACTCTTTTATTGTGTAAGCCAGGCTGAGTTGGCTTTTCTGTTGCCTGCAGCGAAGCACTCTAACTGATATTATAATTTCACTGCCTTGACTCTACCTGAGATCAGGCCCTACGCCGAGAACCTGGGTTACTGCCGAGCAGCTGCTATGGGTCATAACAATAAACATACACACAGTCAAAGCACTTTTCACATAGTTTCCATCATTTAAGTTTGAAAAGCAGCTTCATGAACTAATATTCTAACTGCACTCATTGCATAAATGAGGTCACCTGAGCTCAGAATTATACTCCAATATATTCAATAATCTCATTGAAACAGATACATTTATGACAAACCACCAAATGCCAAGTTTTGATGAGGAAAATGGAAAACATTCATAACCAAAGAAATTAAGAAATTTCTTAATAAATAAAAATGGTGATTGAAGATCTCATTCCCCAAGAGCTTCTGACCTAGAAGGTTTTATGCAAGAGTTTTTATCAAACTTTTATAAAGAGAAAACTGTGAAAGAAAATAGGAAAACAGAAAGATGTTAAATTCATTCTCTGAGGTTAGTATAACTTTCTTAGCCTCAAGGACAGTAGCAAGAAAAGAAAGTTACATATTAGTTTTATGTATGAAAAGTTTGCCGAGATCCTAAACAAATTATTAACTAATGAAATCTTGCCAGGCACAGTGGCTCACACCTGTAATCCCAACACTATGGGAGGCCGAGGCAGGTGGATCATCTGAGGTCAGGAGTTCCAGACCAGCCTGGCCAACATGGCAAAACCCTGTCTCTACTAAAAATACATAAACCACCTGAGCATGCTGGTGGGGGCACCTGTAATCTCAGCTACTCAGGAGGTTGAGGCAGTAGAATTATTTGAACCCAGGAGAGGAGATTGCAGTGAGCTGAGATTACGCCACTTCACTCCAGTGTGGGTGACAGAGCAAGACGATTCCATCTCAGAAGAAGAAGAAAAGAAGATGATGAAGAAGAAGAAGAAGAAGAAGAAGAAATCCAATAGATCACGCCACTGCACTCCAGCGTGGGTGACTCCAGCATGGGTGACAGAGCAAGATTATTCCATCTCAGAAGGAGGAGGAGCAGGAGGAGGAGGAGGAGAAGGAGAAGACGATTCCATTTCAGAAGAAGAAGAAGGAGGAGGAGGAGGAGGAGGACGAGGAGAAGGAGGAGAAGAAGAAGAAGAAGAAATCTAATAGTACGTTATAAAAATGTTTATTTTAGAAGTGTTAGGAAAGTTCAACAGCAGAAAACCTGCTAATACAATTTATCATTTAGTAGATTTGAGGAAAAAAGTGATTAACTTTTAGATGCAGAGAAACATTTGTTGAAGGTCAATATGATTAAGAAAAATTTATAAAACTACAGACATAAGGAACAGGCTTAATGTGATAAAAACTATATTCCAAAACCTACAGAAAATATACTTGGAGGAGAATCCTAGATTCATTTCCATTCCTATTGAAGGCTCTGGCTACAATGCAAGATAAGAAAAGGGCATGGGAAGTGTAAGGTTTAGAAGAGAAGAGATTAAGCTATCACTATTTACAGACAATATAATCCTGTAGATAGAAAAAACTGCAGAATAAGTATAACGATTAAAACTGTAAGAGGTCAGCAAGACTTTTGAATATCAGAAAAAGTCAACAGCTTTCCTTCCAGCTGTACCTGCAATTCCGATTAGAAAATATAATAGAAAATTAGGTAGCATTTACTATGGCAATGAAAACTATAAATTCTCTAGGAATCATGTTAACAAATTATGCTCAATACATTGATAAGACTTTGAAATTACGGGATGTATAGTAAAATCTGAATAAATGTAAAGATACACGAAATTTATGATTGGGAAGTCTGAAATATCAACTGTCTTTAAATTAACAAATTAATTTTAACCCCAATCAAACTGCCAGATAATTTTTCTAAGAGGCAGGGTCTTACTTGGTTGCCCAGGCTGGAGTGCAGTGGTACGATTATAACTCATTGCAGTCTCAAACTCCTGGGCACAAGTGATCCTGTCACCTCAGCCTCCCAAGTAGCCGGGACAAAAGGCATGTACCACCATGCCTGGCTAATTTTCTAATTTTATTTTTGTAGAGACAAGGTCTTGATATATTGCCCAGGCTGGTCTTAAACTCCTAGGCTCAAGTGATCTCCTACCTCAGCCTCTTAAAGTGCTAGGGAGCCACCATGCCCTGAATTTTTTTTTTTTTTTTTTAGAGGGAGTCTCACTCTGTCGCCCAGGCTGGAGTGCAGTGGTGCGATCTCAGCTCACTGCAGCCTCTGCCTACCAGGTTCAAGCAATTCTCCCACTTCAGCTTCCTAAGTAGCTGGGATTACAGGCATCTACCACCATGCCTGGCTCATTTTTGTATTTCACCATCTTGGCCAGGCTGATCTTGAAATCCCGACCTCATATTCCATCCACCTTGGCCTCCAAAGTGCTGGGATTACAGACATGAGCCACTGCGCCCTGTCCGGATGAATTTTTTAAAGGAATGTACACACTCTAAAATTCATTTGGAAGAATACAGGTATGTAAGATAAAATAGCATTTCACAGAGATGTTGTATGTACAGTATTGTGTTACTGGCATTGAACAGATGTACAGATACAGCATAAGGAGCTCAGAAGTGAGTCCTCATTTTTTAGAATTTGATTATTTGATACATGAGTTTGGGAAACTGACTCATATGGAGAGAAGTGAAGATGAAGCTCTGCCTTACATACACAGACATACAAAAAGATGGCCTCTCGATGGGTTAAAATCTTAAATGTGAAAGGTAAAACCATAAAGCTCTTAGAAAAAAACAAAGTAGAATATGTCTGGGGTAGGAGCAAGGTCTTAAGACTCTCCAAACACAAACTGTAAAAAAAATATTGATGAGCTTGAAAATATTCCTGTTCAGTGAAGGACCTATAAAGTTAGTAGATGACAGTTTGGGAGAAATACTCACAATGTGTAAATCTGACAAAGGGCTAATGTCAAGAATTAACTAATGTCTCTTCAAATCAAAGAGGATTAAAGAACAGAAAAGCAAATTTAAACAATGGACAAAAGGTAAGAATATGGAATTCAAATAAGTCAAAACGGGGCCAGGCATAGTGGCTCACACCTGTAATCCCAGCACTTTGGGAGGCCAAGGTGGGTACAGCACTTGAGGTCAGGGGTTTGAGACCACCTGGCCAACAAGATGAAACCCCATCTCCACTAAAAATGCAAAAATTAGCCGGGCATGGTGGCATGCACCTGTAATCTCAGCTACTCAGGAGGCTGAGGCAGGAGAATCTCTTGAACCTGGGAGGCAGACGTTGCAGTGAGCCAAGATGGTGCCACTGTACTGCAGCCTGGGTGACAGAGCAAGACTCTGCCTCAAAAAAAAAGTCAAAATGGTCAACAAAATTGTAAGGCGCTCAAACTTCCCACTCATCAGATAAAGTCAAACTAAAACAAGTAGTTATCATTCAACCACACATCAAAATGGCAAAAAAGAAAAAAGTTTCATAGACCAGATTGCCTCCTCTCCTTCCCCAGTGCAATGTCTTTGGAGACAGGGTCTTTAAGGAGCTAATTAAGGTTAAACGAGGTCATTAGGGTTTGGCCCTAAACTGGTGAGATTGGTGTCCTTCTCAGAAGAAGAAACAGAAGAGATCTCTGTCTTTGCATGGGTGGAGAAAAGGCTGTGTGGAAACACTGAGAAGGTGTCCTTCTGCAAGCCAGCAAGAGTCCTCACCAGAAACCAACCCTATTTGCATCTCGATCTTGGACTTCCAGCCTCCAGAATGGCAAGAAAATGAATGTGTGTTGTTTAATTTCCAGTCTGTGGTATCTTGTGAGGGCAGCCCTAGCTGACTGATACAGCTGAGTACTCCGCAGTGCTGGGGGACATGGGGAGACAGGTATGCTCATTTCTTACTGGAGCATGTGTAGACCACACAGCCATTCTAGAGAGGATTCTGGCAGTTTCGGTTAATTGAGTTTACCTGTACCTTAGGACCCAGCCACTCTCTTTCTGGGTATATCCCAGAGAAATTCTCCCAGAGGCGTGACAGGGACATGTGCAAGGAAGTTCATCTCAGTGTAGTTTATAATCATGGAGAGTGAGAGGCAACCTGAATGTCCGTCCATAGGAGAACAGCCAAATTTACTGAGGTGGATGAACCTTATGGCTCTTTCTGCACCAGCTGAAGCAACATAGGTATCAACAGCATAGTGTTGAGTGAAATCATTAAAACAAAACAGAATGGAATATATATGGCAATATAATTAATGTGAACTAAAATGCTGTACACACAAGGACACAGGCATATTTAAATACACCTATTAAACACACTGTAGTGCCTGCCAAGGCAGTAAGGGTTTGGGAGTGAGAAAAAGGGATAAAGGGGGAAAATAAGAAAATAAAACAAAGAGGGGACTTTGCAGTCCTCTGTGCCAATGATGGTGCACTCTAACTTGGCATTTGTACCAATATGATGAGCTCTAACTTGGCATTTGTACCAACGATGGTGCGCTCTAACTTGGCATTTGTACCAATATGATGAGCTCTAACTTGGCATTTGTACCAACGATGGTGAGCTCTAACTTGGCATTTGTACCAACGATGGTGAGCTCTAACTTGGCATTTGTACCAATATGATGAGCTCTAACTTGGCATTTGTGCCAATGATGGTGTGCTCTAACTTGGCATTTGTGCCAATGATGGTGTGCTCTAACTTGGCATTTGTACCAATGATGGTGAGCTCTAACTTGGCATTTGTACCAATGATGGTGAGCTCTAACTTGGCATTTGTGCCAATGATGGTGTGCTCTAACTTGGCATTTGTGCCAATGATGGTGTCCTCTAACTTGGCATATGATCAACACAACCTGAATTTTCTGTACTTCAGGTCTGAGAAAAAAAGGAGAGGGTAACTGACTAACCTGAAGTCACCCAGCAGGTTAGTGGTGACCCCAGATGATGCCTTCCCACCTCCCCAACCTTGTGGGCAGCAGGCAGAGCCTGGGGCTTAGCTTACTTCTTGCCAGGGTGGATTTGCTCTCTGTGTGGGCCTGGGCCAGGCCGGACCAAGGCTGCTTGTTCAGGGCCAAGGGCAAGGCCAGCAACCCGAGGAGGATGAGGAGCCTCTGGAGGGGACGCATCATAGAGTCTGGGACCTGCAGATGTCAAGAGTGTCAGATGGGGCCTGGGTAGATGGCTTTGAGAGTGGCAGTCTGGAAGGATGGGCTCATGGTTTTCTGTAGGAAGATGATATCAGAGTTAGCCCCCAGCATGCTGCAGGGAGGTGGTGCCCTGGACCCTGGCAGCTGGCTGGGTCATATCGGGAGAGCAGGGGTCATACCAGGGCCTGCTCATATAGGGAGAGCAGCAAGTGGAATCCTGTGGGGAGGCTGGGGCTCCAGAGGGAGGCCTTGTTGCTTGGAGACGCTCACCAGAGTCTACTGTTGGGTCATCCAACAGGAGTGCTCTCCCAGGCCCTGGCACAAGCTGGATGTTGGGGATTCTTTAGTGAACCAATGAATTTATGACACATGAGTGAGGATGGCTAACCCCAGGCTCTCCAATTGGACTAGGACTTTCTTAAGGGCAAAACCAACCACTTCAATCCCTACCACGATACTTGCTTGCCAGAAACTGAGTGCTAATGAATGTTATTGAATGGTTAAACGACTGAATTGATGAGTGGAGATGGCTGATCTCTGAATCTCCTCCAAATTATGAGTTTCTTGAGGGCAGGGTGTGAGACTAATTCATCCTCATGTCTGTGGTGCCTCCCATGTTTGCCACATGGTAAGTACTAACGAACATTCGTTAATAGTACAAATGAATGAATGGCTGGGTGGATGGGGCCTATCTTTCTGGATAAGATTTACAAGAGAGAAACAGAGTCTTGAAGCCAAGGCATCAGGTTGACCTTGGAGCCCTGGGGTTGGGATTCAGAGAGAATTCGGTTTAAGTCCCCTGTCCTCACCATCGCAGGAAATGGTGACAAGTCCATCTAGTAGTTCCAGACCCAGCCCACGGAGTGGCCCTTGCCCCCGCTTTTCCCATCTCCCACAGCCCACCTGTCAGGAGGTCCTGCTGACACTGACAGAACACGATCACGTCTAACAACCAGTCCTCAGCCACCATCGGCTTGGTCAAATTATTGCCAGTGTGTCCCGACTACTTTCCCAGCTTTTTTTTTTTTTTTTTTTTTGAGACAGAGTCTCTCTGTTGCCCACACTGGAGTGCAATGGCATGATCTCAGCTTACTGCAATATCTGCCTCCTGGGTTTAGGCAATTCTTCTGCCTCAGCCTCCCAAGTAGCTGGGACTACAGGCCTGTGCCACCACACCCAGCTAATTTTTGTGTTTTTAGTAGAGACAGGGTTTCACCATATTGACCAGGCTGGTCTCGAACTCCTGACCTTGTGATCCACCCACCTCAGCCTCCCAAAGTGCTGGGATTACAGGTTTCCCAGCTTTTAACCATGTCCACCTGCAATCTCTTCCACACAGCAGCCTGAACAGTCATTTTAAGATGTAAGGTAGACCATGCCACTTCTCTGCTGAAAACCCTCCAGAGTTTCCTCCCGCACACAGAGCAAAAGCCACATTCCATGCAATGCCTCCCAGGTCCAGGAGGACTCCTGCATCCTCTTAGACCACACTCCCTGCCCCACTCTCTTGCCCACTCCACTGCAGTGGCACAGGTCTCGGGGGTCTGGACCCTACCATTCCATTGCAGTGAGCTCTGAGACAAAGGCATTTGTCACTGTCCCTGTGCTGTTTCCCCATGCTTTGGGGGACATGGAGGGTCCCACGTGAATGAAGAATGGGCATGTCCTTTTCAAATTTCACAGAAGCCTTGGGGCCAATCTTGGGCAATTCATTCTGGTTTTGTAAGAGATTATACTGAGAAAGCCTTGGTTCAGGGTGTTGGCTTTCCCCATTTGAGGTCCTTTCTCCCAGTTCATGCTCCCTTTGGAGATGTTTGTAGAATATTACTTACTTAGAAATGTATCTTTCTATGCTTCCTGGTCTTATGTAAATGATTGGAATTTTGGTATTTTTTTTTTTTTGGTCAAGAAAACAGAGAAGAGTGGGCCTTGTCAGGGGGAACAAATCTGTTGTCCTTGGCTCGTGCTCCATGTCACTGACACCATCAGCTTCCCCCGTGTCCCTTAACACGGGGTGGGGGCTGTCGGTCCTGCCGCATGACATGCTGTGATTCTCAGGGCAGCAGAGCCTAATGAAAGGACAACACGGAGGGTGTGGATTTTTAGAGCTTGATGCATGATCAGAGAGAACAGATTTGGAAGGATGAGAGGGCCCTGCTCAGGGGCTGGGGACTGGATTTGGAGCCAACTTGGCACAGGGTCACATACTGTTCCAGAGCATGTGCTTCAGGGTCATGAAGACAAGGGTTCAATTCCTGACTCTGCCTCTTGGCAAATTCAGCTCCCAGGTCTGTAAAAGGATCACAGTGCACACCTCAGAGCTGTAGTGAGGATGAAAGCAAATCGTGCTTAGCCCAGCGCTCAAAACCTTGTTATCATGATCCTCCTCCTTGTCCTTGCCCCTCTGAGCCTTCCTCACCTGTGAACCAGGGAAGCTGATGGTGTCAGTGACATGGAGCATGAGAGCCCCCGAGACCGTTCCTGGGATACGTGTGAGTGAATGCAGGAACCACCTCTATCGAGTACTTTCATGAATGAAATGCATCAGAAGACAGGCAGGAAAGACAGGGAGGCTGAGATGGCAGCAGGGGTCCTGGAGTGAGCTTGAACGTGGCTGAGTGCCAGCAGCCGTGGGCTCTGGGGATCCCACAGAGAGTGGTCAGGCAGGGTCCTTATCCTCCTGGAGCTCACATACCAGTGGGGAGACAGACAGCTTCAACCATCCTTGCAATCGAGGGTAGGATTATGAAGTATGGCCCAGTGGTGAAGGAGGTGGGAGGTGCCGCGGGAGGGCACAGTGAGGCCCCCTGGCCAATGGGGAAAAAGGGATGTCAGAGAAAAGAGCTCCCTGAGGAGGTGGAGTTTGAGCTGACATTCAACAGAGAAGGCCCGAGTTGGCTGGGCACCCCACCCTGGCGTTCTCAGGGAGGACGATGGTGGAGTGAGAACCGCTCCTTCATAAGCAACTACCTGGAGGTTGGCGGGGCTGGCGTTTCTCTCTGGGACCCGTTCCCTGTGCTAAGCCTGCTCTGTGGTCTCATTCCATTCTCAAGCCACACAGGTGAGGAGACGGGGACTCAGGGAAACCCAGTGGCTGCCCGAGCTCCCAGCCAGGAAGAGGCTGAGCTGGCATCCCAGCAGGCTCTCTTGCCTTCCCCAAAACTGCCTCAGACACTGTTTTCCTTAGACACTGGCGCTGTAGGACACAACAGAGCCTCACACGTTAGCAGCCTCCTTCACTAGTCCAGATAGATTTCCTTAAAACAAGCTTTTTTACTTCTTGGTTGACATTTTGAAAATGCATTGGAAGCTTTGGTTTGTCTTTTAGAAAAAAAAAAAAAGTGCACTTGGCTAAAAATGTTGCACACGGTACCAGGATTGCCATGAACTTCTTAAGGCATGCCCATGGGTTCAGTGCTAAAACCCTCGCTTTCCTGGGAAATTGCCTTCAAGAAGTTTGACTTTGAAAAAAAATTCATTTGTCCATCTACCCAACCATTATTGCTTGTGGACCGACTATGTTCCAGGCACTGTGCTTGACTGTAGGGAGTAACAGTCACTTCACTCCCCAGCACCTTACCATCTGACGAGGGAATCAGAGCAAGGTGAAATAAACAAGAAACCAAATAACTACAAATTGTATTAAGGGGAAAAAAGCATAGTGTGAGATTGGAAATAGCAAGGAGGCCACGTTAGATCAGGGCCAGGGAAGGTCTCAGGTGACATTTGAGCAGAGCTCAGGAGGAGAGGAGGAGATGGAGCCAGGCTTGAGTATAAACTTGTGGAAGGGGAGCCAGGCAGAGGGAAGCATGAGGGCAAAGGCCCTCGGGTGGGAAAGGGCTCGGCGGGTTGGAGGAAGAAAGGAAGACAGTAGTGGCTGGATCAACAGGATGAGAAGTCTGTACCCATGTCCCCAGGGAGAGGCCCTGGCTCATATCCCCGGCTGCAGGAAGGGGCTGTCCAATGGGACAAGGTGGCAGGAACCTCCCCTGACAGAACGCTGGGCCAAGCAGGCTTAGGCACACCTGTGATCTCCAATGGCCAATTGGGGTGGCCACTTCCCTTCCTTGGGGCTCTAAGAAAACTCCAGGCCCCTAGCAAAAGCAGAGGTCCCCAAACTCCAGGGGACAGCAGAGGAAGCAGAGGCATTAAATGCAGATTCCTGAATCTGATTTAGTAGGGGGTAGGGGGAGGTGCTGGGAGCTGCCTTCAGGATGAACATCCTAGGGAGATGATGCAGGGGGTTCAGTCCATACTTTGAGAATTACTCTTCTAAGGAATGGAATTCATTATTCATCTAGTCATTCATTCATTCCATTCTTTATAGATATATTTATATATGTATATGTGTGTATATATATAAACATATATATGTTTGCTTAATAGGTATAGAGGACTAGGGGCTGGAACTTTAACCCAAAGGTGAATTTCCTTAAAATGTCAGGGGAGGAGAGAGTGGGGACCATTTGTGAATGGGATATTAAGTTTGACAAAGGAAGAGCTCACCTCTCCTGCATTCTGAGGGTGGCCTGGAGAGGGCAAAGGGAAAATGGAAAAGCTGGAATTTCCAGGGGAGCATCACCGAATTTTGGAGGGAGAGATGGGCTTGTAAAAATGCAGATTCTTATGTCACCTCTGATGAATTGAGTCAGTCTCTGGAGGGGCTCCCAGATGCTTATCCTGGGAATAAGCATCTGGATGGTTCTGATACACACAACGTGTGAAGACCACTTAGCTGTAATAATAACAGTGATACCGGCTAACAGTTATTGAGTGCTGACTGAGCTCCAGGGGCAAGCTAAGTGCTTCACCTGTAGTGACTTACTGAATTCTCAACACAACCCTTTGCACTAGGTACTGTTATTATTGGCCTCCTTTTGCAGAGGCACACGGATGCTAAGTAAAATCCCCAGATCCACTCAGCTGGGAGCAGTGTGGATGGGATGGGAACCAGGTTGCTAAGCCTACAGGAGGAAGCTCAGAGGAGCTGTTGCTCATTCCCCACCACTTGCTCCATTCCACACCCCATTCTGCTGCCCAACATGATCCTCAGCCCCCCTTTCCCAGCCATAGGCATTGCAAGGAAAGGCAGGAAGAATGATAAGGGCAGACACATGTTGAGCCCTGACTCTGGAGTCACTTGTCCAGGGACACACAGCTGATAAATGTTGAGTTAGGATTTGAATTTGGGCCACCTGGATGTGATAGGCTCTACCTTGTTTTTGGATAAATTCACTTACAGCCCTTGCCCTTCCTCCTGGGGTCTGCAGCCCCATTCTGTCCAGATGCATTTCCTCTTATATTCTGCAGAGGCCACTAAGACTCCGTGGGACACACATGGCAAACAGCAAAATTTTCAGTGAGTTGATCCACTAGATAGGCTGAAGGCTGCAGGTCTCACCATAACCATGAACACTCTGGACCGCAAGGGGGCAGGAACCGACCTGCCAAGCCCCAGGGCTTATCTAGCAGGGATGTCCTCAGGGGGAAAGGAGGAAAGCAGGTCATTAAGGATAACCAGCCAGGCAGAGCCTCGCGTGACCTTAAATGTCAGCCAGTAGGGAAGATGAAATGGGCATGAGCCCTTCTTTTAAAAATGCACATCCAACCTGTTTGATGATTAATTTTTTTCTTCAAGCAACTTGGCTTCTCTTCTGCTTCCTGTTGCCTTTCTCAAAGGGACCAAACTGCTTTCTCTGTTCTTCCATTTTCAACTTTTGGATCCCAATCCCCCACCTTTATGAATTTTCTCAAACATGTGTCACTGAATATTTGCTCATTTTGCTTTAGCTGATCCTAACTTCTCGTGGTTGCTGGAGATAGATGTAGCACTAAATTTCTTCATCTGGATCCTCTTGGAATTGGGGAACCGTCTTTGGGAGAGGGATTGTGTACCTCTCAGGATGACATTCTCCATGCTATTGTGCAGTGTGTGACAGCTCCCAGGAGGGAACATTAATTTATCAGGGAGTTGGCAGGTTTCATTGAGCCTCTCCATGTCCCAAGCAGTGAACAGGACAGATAAAAGTCCAGTTCAGTTTTCAGCCCTGAGGTTGGAACAAGCTGAGCGGGCAGCACAAGAAAGCCAGTGTGACCAGAGCAAGTGAGACAAGGGGAGAGTGGTGCGGATGGGGTCAGGAACGTGCATATGGACACATCCAATGTGCCCACAGGCCCGGTGAGGACCCAGACTTTCATTCTAAGGCAGACATAGATTTGAGTCCTGACTCTCTTATTCTTAGAGGTGCAGCTTACACATGTCACTGCACCTCTCTGAGCATCAGTTTTCTCACCTAGTCAAGAGAAAACAACAGTTACTTCCTAGGTTTATTGTGATAATTAAATTAGAAAAATACTTTGGAGGAGAAAGCCAGATTGTTTTAAAAAAAAAAGATGGCCGGGTGCAGTGGCTCATGCCTGTAATCCCAGCACTTTGGGAGGCTGAGATGGGTGGATCACTTGAGTCCAAGAGTTCAAGACCAGGCTGGCCAACATGGTGAAACTCCATCTCTACTAAAAATACAAAAATTTGCTGCAGATTCCTAAATCTGATGGCATGGTGGCACACACCTGTAGTCTGAGCTACTTGGGAGGCTGAGGCAGGAAAATCTCTTAAACCCAGGAGGCAGAGGTTGCAGTGAACTGAGATCACACTACTGCACTACAGCCTGAGTGACAGAGCAAAACTCCATCTTTAAAAAAAGTGAGCAGTGGATGAAGGTGAGGAAGGAGAGGCAGTGAATAGCAGGGTATCTTTTGAGAAGTTTGGTTATACAGTGAAGAAAAATGGGATTACCAGGGCCAGGAAAAGATTTCTGTCGTGAGCCACAACTTTGTAGGCTATTCTTGCCTGAGGGGACTGGTAAGATGAGACCAAAATTCTCACTGCACAGTGAGGAGACTGTGGCCAAGGATGGAGCCATCTAAGGTCACAAAATCAGTTCGGAAAACATCCCAGACAAGGTGAGAAGCCTTTTAAAAATATAATTAGCTTTACTTTGGGAAAAATCATTCCAGAGTGTTCATAAGTTCATGAGATAATGAATAAATTAACCCAAGTATTCCCCCCGCTGCTTTCCAGACTTTTGTTATCATGACCAGACCCGCCACCACCTCTGGCTACTGTTGCCCCCATCCACAAAGCCCTGTGGAAGCTGGACAGTTTGCAGATTAGAGCTGCTAAAATTTATTGCGGGAAGATCACAGGGAATCAGCACATGGGTTCTGGTGAGGATGTACAGGGAAATGACCTCCATGCCAGGAGAAGTAGGGAATCTTTGGGTCCAGGGAGGGTCATGCAATTCCAAGCATCAGCTGAATAATCAACACGATCTACGCAGGTGGGGGCCTGGAGTGTGGAGGACATTCCATGGAGGAGGCTAGGATGCAGGAGCTGATTCTGTGTGAGATAATCGAGGTATTAGTAAATTTCACACCCTTTCTGTGGGTCAGAACTGACAGCCCTTTCCACTCCTGCACTCTCCCTCCGCGCTGGTGTGACTGCTGTCCACGGTGCTGAAGTCTATTCCTGTGGGGACACCTAACCACTGCCTCTATCTGGATAGTTTTCTCATTGTTTCCCTGGACTTCCTCTCATCAATAAAGGTGGCTCTGCTTCATCTCCTGGGTCTACTTCACAGAACAATAATGCAAAAATATCGCCAGGTGTCCTTAGTTAATCAAAAGACATATTTATTATTTTTAATATTGGCAACTCAGTCACATTTATAAAACACTTTATAGGCAAAACCAAATATGCCTGTGAGCTGAATATAATATGGGGGTCACAGATTTGGGACTTCTGTGCTAAGTGGCAGCCTAGATATATTGGCAGGAACACATGAGATGCCCTAGACCTTTCAACGTTTTGCAACTGCCAGCTAATTAGCTTAGAGAGAGCTGCACCGTCCGACATGGTAGCTGCTAGTCACGCATGGATATCAGCATTTGAAAAGCAATTAGTCCACACTGAAATGTGCTGTTAAGTATAAAATACACATCAGACCAAAGACTTAGTGAAAACATTGAATGTAAAGTATTTTATTACTTTTACAATGATTCCATGTTAAAATAACAATATTTGGATACGGTGGGTAAATAAAAAACTAGTAAGGTGAATAACACCTGTTTCTTTTTCCCTTTAAAGATGGCTTTGCTATAAAATTCAAACTTACATGTGTGTCTCCTGTTATATTTCTACTGGGCAGCATTGGTTTAGAGTATTACATAACTAAGTTAGTCAACTCAAGGATGTAGATTATATTATGGTACTGGCCACTTAATTTTTTATACCCCCTGCCATGGACTATGCTTTCTTACAGCTCAATTCATCACGTTACCTTGTTCTAACAAAGCACGTGTACTGCACAGCTTATTACAAGCTTATCCTTACTCCTCAGAGAAGGATACCTCTATCCCCCATGACTCCTATGAGCAGCAACCCAGAACTCCCTGCCATTGCCCAGAGCATCAGACCCTTTCCTACTTCTGTGTACTTGCACATGCTGTATCCTCTGCTTATAGTGTCTTTTCCCACAAAGAGAGTCTATCATTTTTCAATGCCCGGTTTAAATCTTGCCTCTTCTGCAAAGACTCCTGGAAGTCCCCTGGCAAGGCTACTGGGTCTCGCCTCTCTACTTCCATAGAACCTCAGCTAAGCACCTCAACCCACATGAAATTGCCTAATTATTTGTTTTATCTCTTGCTAGGTAGGGGCCATGTGCGATTCATTTTTGTAATCCTGGAACTTGGAATAAAACAGGGAATAAGATGAAGTCCCTGACTTCATGAGATCTACGTTCTTTTGGAGAGGGAGAGAAAAGATACAGGTAATATAGTAGAAAGTTAGATAATAATTAGCGTTATGAAGGAAAATAAAGCAGGAAAGAGAGTGGTGGATGTGCCATTTTTGAGAGACTTGAGATGGTGGCACCAAAGAGCTGCAAATACATACATGATAAATGAATGAACAATGACATCTCCTTTTATAGAAACTCCCTTCCTTTTCTCTGCCAAATATCACTCTTATAAAGATGTCTCCTAAAACTGAGCTCCCTACACACTCCAGCCCACATCGGCCTCCTTTCTTTACTTCGAAAAGGCAAGTTCATTCATTCCTGCCTCAGGGACTTTGCACAGGTTCATCCTCTTGCTTGTGATACTTTCCTCCTGGGTCTCGGCACAGCTCCTTCTGCCTTATCATTCAGGGCTCAGCCAAAATGTTTGTTTCCTAAAGAGCCTCTATATTAGAATCTGACTATATTAATTTGATGCCTCTCTCTCTGTCCCCACCCCAGTTACATTTGCTCACATCCTCTTGCTTTGTTTTCTTCTGAATACCCATCATCCTCTGGAATTTAGTTGATTATATGTTTATTTCATTGTTCACTGTTAGTATTGCCAACTAGAATGCAAGCTCCAGGAAATCAGATTCCTTGTCCATCTCATTGACTGCTGCATTCCTAACATGTAGAGTGGAGTCTAGCATATAGTAGAGGCTTAACTGAAATTTAACAAATGAATAACACACCTATAATGATCCTAAAGCCCAAAGGTCATCACTAGGGAATGGAAACATGCTCTGGTTGCTCACCGAATTGGTACACACATAGCTCCTTCACTTTGGGGACATTTAGATGGTGACTTGGTACTTTTCCTGCAGCAGGACCAGATCTAGAATGTAACACAGATATGTCAGACAGTGGAGGTGGAGGAGGATCAGAAAGGCCAGGGAGGTTTCCCCCTTGGAGCAGCACTGGGAGCAGAATGGGGATGGGGAATGAGCCCAAGGAGTGGAGCCTTCTGTCTGAAGGCTCTGTCTGAAGTGAAGCTCTGATTTGCCACTGGCTGTCTTGGATGACTTCACTGAGAGTTCTTATCCATGCAGTACAATGACTACCAGTGTGGACTCTGTAGCTGGAGAATGTGGGTTCACTCTGGTTCCGACACTTTCTTCCATGGAAATATGGGCAAACATTTTAATCTTCCTTTGCTTCTGTTTCCTCATCTTTAAAATGCAGATAGTGATAATACCTAGCTCATAGAGTTGTGTGGACTGATCAAGTTACATGTAAAGTCCACAAAGAGCCTGGCACATAGTAAAGCACTTAATATACACTTAGCTTTTATTGTTATTATTTTTTACCAAGTAATCTTGGATAAATTGCTTAAAGTTCTTGGATCTTGGTTTTCTTATCTATAGATTAGGAACAACCACTACCTCCTAAGTTAATCACCCAAGAGCTCCTACATTGGAATAAGACAGTGGAGGAAGCTGCCATCATTGCAGCAGGAGTCTCCATTCACCTGCCCATCTCTCTGAAGTGATGGCCCAATAGCAGAGTGAAGGTGTTGGTTGAGCTGTCCCATTCATTTGAGTGGACCTGTGAACACAAGCTTTGGGAGCTTTTAGGCTCATCCAGATTAGTTGCCTCAAGCTTTCTACCTCATAGGTAGTGCGTTCTGGTGGCGTGCCGTGGGTGGCTCATGCTTGTAATCCCATCCATTTGAGAGGCTGAGGTGGGCACATCACTTGAGGTCAGGAGTGCAAGACCAGCCTGGCCAACACAGTGAAATCCCATCTCTAGTAAAAATACAAAATTAGCTGGGTGTAGTGATGCATGCCTGTAATCCCAACTACTTGGGAGGCTGAGGTAGAAGAATTGCTTGAACTCTGGCAGCGGAGGTTGCAGTGAGCCGAGATCGCACCACTGCACTCCAGCCTGGGGGACAGAGCAACACTCCATCTCAAAAAAAAAAAAAAAAAAAAAAAAAAGTAGTGAGTTCCCAGTCAATGAAGGTTTATAAGCTGAGGTCAGAAGAGCCACCCAAGGGAACTTTAGAAACTCCAGCATCTAGCACTTGGCAGGACTAGTGAATATTTAGTGAATGAAGGTGTACACCTTTCAATTCCACAGGGTTTTTTTGCTTTTTTTTTTTCTTGGTGGGGGAGGTTTGGAGTCCTTCTGGGGGCCTGAACTGCTGAGATTCAATCTTGCATTTTTTTGCTTTGAGTTCTGGCAGATATGAAAACTTTGGATGCTTGAGGTAGAGACTACTGAAAGGAAGCAGTCTTTGTCTGGGCTGAAACCAGATTAATTTTCTGCCCATCATTCAACATCATACAATTTTAGAGGAGGATAAAGGGCTTCCATTCATATCTCAGCTGCTCTAGGCTTTGGGGAGAAGAATAGAATTAAAATCAGGATGTCCTTAGCTAAAGGTGAGCATTCAATCACTACTGCAGGCACAGTGCTTCATGTTGGCCTTGGCACACCGGGCTCCCTCAGTAAATGTCAGCTGAGTTTATCGAGGTTGTTATTATTAAGGACCATTCTACTTCAGCAGGAAAGAGATTTTTGGTCTAGGAGAAGTGCCAGAGTGAGGTAAGGGGAAATGAGATACAAAGGGTGAGGGAGGGCTCTGAGCTTTCTTCTGGAATGTTCCTGTCCCTTCCCACCTCCAGCACTTACTAATCAGCTCCTTAACCACATACTGATCCAGGTTGTAGAGCCATTTGTTAATCACAGGACACACCTGAAAGACAAGGAAATAGGCAAGAGTCAGGAGGAGGGCTCCACCAATGAAGCCTCAGTGGGAGTGACCAAGCCAAGTTCTCCTCAGTCAACCCATTCTGGGGACAACCAGGTGGATGGGTTTGGGGTCACAAGCCAGCTCAGCCACTTGGCAGCTGTATGACTTGAGTAAGTAATTGGCCGTCTCTGGAACTTTTTCTTAAATCTGGAAAATGAAGATGATACTGTTACCTGGAGCATGAGATTGTTTGGGGGATGAGATAAGAAAATTCATTTCAGATTCTCAGCACAGTGTTTGCGTGCTTAGTGAATTTTAATTTTGTGATGACTTATCCCCGTTTTACAGATAACGGAACTGAGTTTTGGAGAGATTTATCAACTCACTTCTGATCACACGGGTGCCGGTTTTGACCAGAAGAATTGAACAGTGTCTGTAAAACATTTCACCAGCGCCCGACTGCAGAATGGGAGCTTAACAGATGCCAGTCCATCTCTCCCTAACTCTCTTTCCTGAAAGATTTCCTCCCACTTCATTAAGAAGATCCAACCCCTCGCGCTCTGAGTCTCAGCTCAAAAACGGAAGTAATCTGGGTTTGCAAACTTACTTGTCGTCCCAGATCACGGGCCGCTATGGTTTTCAGGTTCCTCTCTATGTTTTCCACAACAAGTTTTGCTGCTGGGGTGAGTCTAAATGAAGATGCAGAAAATATGCCAACAGATTAACTTCCCTCGGACCCTCCTTTCTCCGCATCACTTCTTTGCTCAATGACCATGAACTTCGTCAAGCCTGCTCCTTGTTTCCATGACATTCCATCACCCAGCTGGGTCCTACTGCTCCAATCCACACTCCAGGGCTCCTTAAAATTAATCTTCCAATTTAAGGCACCTTGCCCTCATCATTGTTACCCGCCATTATCTTCTCCGTGACTATTTTGCCTCTCTCTCTGGAAATGCCTTCTTCAAATTCTAGCCCCTTGTAGGCCCAGCCAACTGGTTTCCTCCAAAAGCTCTTCCTGACCATCCTGACCAGTTCTGAGTTCTCTCCTTCCTGCTCACTTTCCCATTTCTCTGCTTATCTGATGCTACAGTAGGACTTCTCTCCTCTGCCAGAGGGCCGATGCCTTCATGGAAGGAACAGTATAATATCGTTCTTTAGAAAGGAGAATGAAGCAGGAAATAGCGTAAAAGCGTCCTTGTATTCTGTGTTCCTGACTCAGTCCCTATTCCTTAACATGTGAGGGTAAATCTGTCTTATTCTCAGACAAAGAGTTTATGTCTTTATTTCTTGAAGAGTTTGCATAGAAATCAGCCATGATCTACTACTTCCAGCCTGGGGTCGCAGATTCCTCACAAAGGAGGGACTTGTTTTCTTTAGTATATCAGGAGAGAGAGAGGCATTTGCAGAGGTTTCAGAAGGGGAGATGGGCTGTGAATCTGGCCTGGTTCTCGCTTATGTCTGAGCATGTCAGGGGGACTGGACCAGGTGTGCAAGGGTGCGGAAAGCATTCCACACCCAGATATTTTCTGAAACAGTGAGCAATGGAGATGAATCAAAATAGAGAATTCATGAAAGAAGAAGACAGGATAGAAATTGGACTGGTGATGACCACTGGATTCAGGTAAATGTGGATTCAGCCTTAGTTTTAAAAAATATATATTTAAAAAGGGCTGTGTGTGGTGGCTCATGCCCGTAATCCCAGCACTCTGAGAGGCTGAGGCAGGTGGATCCCTTTGGTCTAGGAGTTTGAGACCAGCCTGGGAGACATTGTGAAACTCTGTTTCTACAGAAAACACAAAAAGTAGCCGAGGATGATGGCCTGCCCCTGTAGTCTCAGCTATTCAGGAGGCCTAGACGGGAGGGTGGCTTGCAGTGAGCCGAGATTGCACCGCCACTGCACTTCAGCCTGGGCAACTGAGTGAGACCACGTTTCAAAAAAAAAAAAAAATGTAAAAAGAAGTTTTTAAAAAAGGGATTATACATTTAGAAGTAAACACTAAATTCTAGTGGATGAAAGGGCAAAACCTCTGAAGATAGTTTCTCTGAAGAGGAAATGTCAGAGACGAAGAAATTGTGAAATGCTTTCCTACTGGCAATCAAGGTAATGAAAATAATAGCAGTTTTCCTCCAAGAGATTTTCCTCCAAGAGAAAAGAAGATCTTGTCCTAATGTGCCTCAGAATAATCATATTCCGCACTTTTCCCAGCACAAAGCAGGCTGAAACAAATGAGTAGATAAGACTGAAAGCCATCATAGCAGATGTGTGGGGAAGGTATGTATGTATTTAAGAAGTTGTGAAAAGGAGAATAATTGGGATTGATTGTGTATAGGACAAAACTGAGCAATGTCAGCTAGAGACATGCCACCTGGGTCAGTTCCATTGGTAAGGTATTTGGTGAGCAGTTTGGCAGTGCCTTAAAACTTAGAAGTTGTAGAAATGTCTATACTTTTGGAATAATCTTAAAAATCTACAATAAGAAAATAATTCTGTTTTTAGAAAAGTTTCCTGTATCAAAATGTTCAGGGTTATTCATGATAGCAAAATGTTTGTTTGTTTTTGAGATGGAGTCTTGCTCTGTCACCCAGGCTGGAGAGCAGTGGCACGATCTCGGCTCACTGCAACCTCTGCCTCCTGGTTCAAGTAATTCTCCTACCTCAGCCATCTGAGCGGCTGGCACTAAAGGTGCATTCCACCACACTCAGTAATTTTTTGTAGCGTTAGTAGAGATGTGGTTTCACCATATTGGCCAGGCTGGCTCGATCTCCTGACCTCGTGATCCACCTGCCTCAGCCTCCGAAAGTGCTGGTATTATAGGCATGAGCCACTGCACCTGGCCCAAAATGTTTATTTTTTAAATTAATTTAATTTTTTTGAGACAGGGTATTGATTGTTGCCCCAGCTAGAGTACAGTGGCATGCTTATGGCTCACTGCAGCCTCAACCTCCTGGGCTCCAGTGATCCTCCCACCTCAGCCTCCCTAGTAGCTGGGACTACAGGCACCCACCACCACACCTGGCTAATTTTTGTATAGACAGGGTTTTGCCATGTTGCCCAGGCTGGTCATGAGCTCCTGGGCTCAAGCGATCCTCCTGCCTCAGCCTCCTAAAGTGCCGAGATTACAGGCAAAAGCCATCTTGCTAGGCCCAAAAAGTTTAGAAATAACCTAACTATAAACAAATGGCCAAGCGATCCTTTTTTTTCCTCAGTACTATTTGGTAAGTCTCTTTTTCATGTCGATAGAATTATTACTTTTGTAAAAAACAAAATTTTAAAGGCACATAAAGTCCTGTTTATTATACACACATCCTCATACACACCAAAGCCTAATTTTGTAGGGTATTGTTTTTCTGGTAATATCTTTCAGGTGAAACCTCACTAGAGGCATCATCATAACCAGCTGGACACAGAGGAAAAGAGATCAAGAACTCACGGGACTCCCGTTTGGACCCACATAGCCTCAGGCAAGAGCCTGCAGTTCCCAAAGGTGAGTTCATATCTGCCACCTAAATTCTTCTCCAAACGAATCTGGACTTTTATATCTGACTGCATATTAGCTGTGAAGGGCTTCATGGTCAGGAGCCTGTAGAGGGGAAGAGGGAAGGCAGGTGGGAGAGAAGCTCAGAGCTTACTACATTCTCGTTTGCTTCTAGAACTGGGGTTCCCCATGTTGCCACAGAATCTTCAAAACCAGCCTGTTAAGGTTATTTTCTCATTTTTCCAAAGAGGCCATTCAGTGCTGGAGAATGAGAATGGCTTTCCTCAAATCACGCATCCAGCCAGTGGCTAAGTCAGAGGGTTCTGCGCTCCAGGAGTCTAACTCATATCTGCTACCTCTGGCTCTGGGGACAGTTAGGAAGGAAAATGTTGATTCTAAGTTTGGCATCTTTTTTTTTTAGTTTTTGAGACAGAGTTTCGCTCTTGTTACCCAGGCTGGAGTGCAATGGTGTGATCTCGGCTCACCGCAACCTCAGCCTCCTGGGTTCAGGCAATTCTCCTGCCTCAGCCTCCCGAGTAGCTGGGATTACAGGCACGCGCCACCATGCCCAGCTATTTTTTGTATTTTTAGTAGAGACGGGGTTTCACCATGTTGACCAGGATGGTCTCAATCTCTTGACTTTGTGATCCACCCGCCTCGGCCTCCCAAAGTGCTGGGATTACAGGCGTGAGCAACCGCGCCCGGCCCTAAGTTTGGCATCTTATCAAAACTGAGAAACTGCACCTGACGTCAGAAAGTCCTCTTCTAGAGGTCTAGGTCTCAGACTCCATTGCCTTGATGGCCAGGCTTGAAATGGAAATGAATGAAGTAGACGGGCAGTTAGTTTCACAGGGAGTGGTAAAGGCTGTGGTGAACTGGGGAATGCCTGGCCTCTGCAGATGCACCATGCAAACCAGACAAAATATACCAGTGGGCCAGACGCAGCCTGTGGGGTGATCTCTAGGCAATGGTGCCAATGAATTGGGGTCCAGAGGTGATTCTGTGTTCGTGTCTTCAGTTACATTCAATCAGAACTAAGTGGACTCATGAAATCCAAATACGTGAAGGTGGGGGCTGTCTGGAGGAGGTACAGAGAGGAAATCATCTCAACATTCCTGCTTTCCCCAGAGAGGCCCCAAGCTGGGAGCACTCAAGTATTCTACAGGCTTCTCATTCTACACATGGGATGACTCGAGTCTGTTGCTGAGACTTTTGCTTAGGGCCCCTTCCCACATCTCCCCATTCCTGTGCAAAAGCCAATGGGGCCTGTGGGACTCAGAGATGTTACTTACTGCACAATCAACTCAGATGTGAATGGTATTCGTACAGTGGCCTCATTTCTTTGAGGGGTGCTCTCGATGGAGACTTGGAAGAGTTGAGGATTTTTCACCTGTATCCTGGGTGAAGAAACAGCACAACACAGGGATGCTGTGGCTTCTGCTGCAGGTGGACCTCACTTTGTGCAGTGGCAGGTCCCTTGCAGAGAAGAAGCTGAATACATGCAAAGATGGCTACTCATTCATCAACCAGGTAGTTTATTGCACAGCTACTATGTGTTACAAGCACTGGGAATACATCCCTGAGCAAAAAGAAGCTCTTACCTTAATGTATCTCAGAATAAGCACGTTCAGCACTTTGGCCAGCACCAAGCAGGCTGGAATCAGTAAGACTGAAAGCCATATATAGCAGATGCTTGGGGAAGTATGTATGTGTAAGAGCATAAATCCAGTAAATGAATACATACAGAAAGTGGTAGGCATAGTGAAGAGAAGGCCCTACAGGATCAGGAATATGGAAGGTAATATTGGGAAGAGTGGAATTTTAGACAGGGTAGTCAGGGAAGCTTTATCATAGGAGGTGATATTTGGGCAGAGTCATGAATGGAGTGAGAATGAACCATGCAGATAGGCAGAAGAAGAAAGGGACAGGCCTAAGACAGAGCAAGGCTGGGTGCTGTGGCTCATGCTTGTAATCCCAGCACTTTGGGAAGCCAAGGCAGGAGGATCAATTGAGCCTGAGAAGTCAAGGCTGCAGTGAGCCATGATTGTACCACTGCACTCCAGTCTGGGTGACAGAGCAAGACCCTGTCTCAAAAACAAAACAAAGCAAAACGAAAAATCAACCAACCAAACAAAAAATTAGCTGGGCATGGTGGCAAGTGTCTGCGGTCCTAGCTACTCAGAAGGCTGAGGTAGGAGGATGACTTGAGCCCAGGAGGTTGAAGCTACAGTGAGCTGTGGTCACACCACTCACTGAACTCCAGCCTGGGAGACAGACTGAGACCCTATTTCAAACTAATAATAATAATAAAAGTAATAAAGAAGACAGAGCAAGTGCAAAGGCCCTGAGGCTGAAATGTGGCTGGTGTATGAGGAACGGCAACAGGCTGCGAGTGGCTGGCAGGCAAGCAGTGAGTGAGGTATGAATAGCAAAAGAGGTGGGAGAGGTAGTCAGGGCCAGATTGCATGGAGCCTTGAGGGCCAGTGGCAAGAACTTTGGGTTTGGTTCTGAGGGCTAAGAGAAGACATTGGAGGGTTTGGACAAGGGAGTTACAGGGTTGGCTCCACTTCTTAGAAAGATTTTTCTGGATACTGGCAGAACAGAATGGAGGAGATGAGGGTTGGTGGGTGAAAATGGGGGAAACTGGGGCTATAAGTCAAGGGAGGAGATGATGGCTCAGATAGTTGGAGGTGGAAAAAATGTGGTGAGGGCCTGGAGTGGTGACTCATGCCTGTAATCCTAGCACTATGGGAGGCCGAGGCAGGCAGATCACAAGGTCAGGAGATCACGACCCTCCTGGCCAACATGGTGAAACCCTGTCTCTACTAAAATACAAAAAATTAGCTGGGTGTTGTGGTGCATGCCTGTAGTCCCAGCTAAGGGAGGGAGTACAGGCTGAGGCAAGGGAATCACTTGAACCCAGGAGGCGGAGGTTGCAGTGAGCTGAGATCACGCCATTGCACTCCAGCCTGGTGACAGAACAAGACTCTGTCTCGAAAAAAAGAATAAAATAAACATAAAAAAGAAGTGAGATGCTGCCTGGGTATGATTTGAAGGCAGGATAGTTTGGCGACAGGCTGGAAGCAGGTACAAGGGAGACAGAGGAGCCAGGGAGGACATCACAATTTTTGGCCAGAGCAACTGGATGGTTGGAGTCATCATTAGGTGAGATGGGCTGGGCAGGGAGGCACAGGTTGGGGCAGGGGATTAGGGTGGGAGTCATCAGATGAGTTTTTGGACTTGTTGAGTTGAAGACGCTTGTGAGACAAGGGACCCAGGTCTTCTACACTGCAGTGGTCAGTCTAACCCTAAAACCAGCATCATCTAGTATTATGATGACCATATTCTTGTTGTTGTTTATTACCTGTGATTGGACTCTTACTGAGGACAGGGAGCTGTGCAAACATTTTACACTTATTTATTTATTTATTTTTGCCAATCAGTGTGAGCTTGTAAGGTTGCTCAGGTTAGCCTTGAACTCATGACCTCGCCTTCGCAAGCGCCACGACATCGGGCCAGAGCCCCTTTGGACCCATTTTACACTTATTATTTCATTCAATGCTCACAACAGCCCCATGAGGATAGATGCAATTATTCCCCATTGAACATGGCAGATACTGAGGCTCAGAGAAAGGGGGAGATTGGAGATGCTTACAGCTGGTGAGCAGCCATCCTCTTCCCAGACAAGGGGACTGAACCCCTGTGTCCTTGTTCCCTGCCTGAGCCTCCTGCCTCCCTGCTCAGTGGGAGTTTCTTTCAACCAGGAGATCTCAGGCCATCAGAGCTAGAAGGGCTCTTTGCAAGGGAAGGGCCTCTGAGAGGTCAGGAAATGTGGGGAGAGCTCTAACAATCCACAGAGGACCAGGACAGTCTGGACTAGGGGCGGTTGGTGATCAGAGGCCACTCACCTAACAGTGCCGATCTCATTGGTGAGTGGAGTCCCCAAGATGCCCAGGAGGCCTGATATGCCGTCGAAGGCACTACTCAATGATTTCTGGAGGCCAATTGTCTGCAGGCTGGGAAGAAAGTCTGCCCTGAGGAGTCCTTGAGTTAAATCTGTAAAGAATGCCCCACCCCCAAACCCACGCAGACATTCAGATGCTAAAGATCCTCAGACACAACCTTGACCTCTAAGCATGCCCTATATGTGGCTCTGACTTGTCATTCAGCTATTTCTGGCTTGCTGGGCTCTGGGCCAAGTTCATTCCAGACATAATCATCCAGCGAATATTCACAGGGGCCTACCATGCACCCAGGCCGTGCACCCAGTCTGTTCACCATGGGCACCACCCTGATGGAGCTGGCATTCTCATGGGGCTGAGGAGAGACAGATGAAAAAGCGGAGAATAAAGGGACAGGCAGAATTCAAGCGTAAACAAGTGCTCTGAAGGGGTTAGTTTCAAAGTATTTAGCAGCGAGCTAAGCAGGGGCACTGGCCAATCAGGAAGGACAGCAGCCAGAGCTCTGGAGCCAGTCCTGGGCTCGCTGGGCTGTGCCAGGTGTTCACTCCATAGTTGTTTGGTTCATGGGGAAGTTAGAATTCTGGGGGTGAAGCTGGGGTGGTTTGGGGTAATGGGGGCACCTGGAGATTCTCTGAGCAGGAAACATTTCCCAAATAGTATACCCCCAAATTTCAATGTTTTAACCACTTTGACTGTGCCACTGAATAACAGTTCAGCCTATGAGGATAAAATAAAAGGCAGGGTGAGGGATTAATTTATGCAGGGAGGTCAAGGAAGGGCTTTCTGTAAAGGTGACATTTGAGCAGAGATCTGAAGGAAGAGTGGCAGCCATGTTGACAGGTAGGGAGAGGGAACAGCAGGTGCAAAGGCTGGGACAGGGACCAGTCCTTGCAGAGCTGGGTGCTTTGATGGTGGGTCTTAATAGATAAAGCACAGCAAGGAGATGGGAGAGAGGGGGCTCTCAGGAAATGAGGATTAAATGATGTTACAGTAGGACAGCTAACAATTCATGGTGTTAATTGTGTCCCAGGCACTATGCTAATGAAAGCTTAATTGGCATTGGCTCAGGGCACTGCATGACCCGAGGTAGGACAGTCTCACCATTAAGGAGCTGGGAAGAAACTCCAGGCAGGACCTCCTGGGCAGAGGATGAGGCAAGCAACCCACAGAGAATGAAGAGGCTGAAGATATTCAGCATCTTGGGTCAGGTCCCTGCGGGGGATCAGGGCAAAGAGGTCAGTTGCGAGGACACTTTCTGAAAGAGTCTGCCCAGAGCTTATGTCTGAGGTGGCCACAGAACTCATGTGGATCTGGTCACCTATGTCCATTTTACAGATGGGTCTACTGAGGCTCAGAGAAGGACATGCTTTTCCTTATAGTTTAGAGCAAGAAATGGAGGGTCCAAGAGATGAAGTCACTTGCCCAAGGCCACACAACCTGTATTTAGGCCCAAAAGCTGAACACAGTTTTTTTTCGCAGGGACATGGCCTTCCCCAGCAGGGCTGCCCACGGCTGCTGCAAGAGGCTGCATAACGTTAGAGTTATGATGAAGGTCTCTGAAGTCCCCCACCTGTTGCCAGCTGTGGGGTTCTGGGATTTAGGGCAAGTTGCTTCACCACACAATGTGATGCAGGATACACTACCCTCATTTTACAGCAAAATGGTGGTAGCGGTATGTCCTGGCTTCAGAGCAGACAGACCTGGGATGGAATCTCAGCTCTGCCATCTACTTGTTGGATACCGTAGGCAACCCAGACTCCTGGCGCCTTGCTTTCTTCATCTGGAAAATGCAAAGGATACAGACTCACACCTTCCTCTCGCCTTTGTGGTAAGCACTTAGCACAGCACCTTGCACATTGTAAGTGCTCCACAAATGGTCACCACTGTGTTGATGCATCTTTATGATCATGAGAATCATGATCATCATGATCAAGATTTTCACCTGACATTTATTTCCGGCAGCAGGAATATCCTTAGGTGTTTTTCTGCACTTACCCGCCACATTATGACCCATGAAACGTTTTCTGGGAATAACCAGTCCTGAAGGTCTGGCTTTTTTTTTTTTTTTTTTTTTTTAGACGGAGTTGTGCTCTGTTATCCAGGCTGAAGTGTGAAGTGCAGTGGTGCAATCTTTGCTCACGGCAACCTCCACCTCCCTGGTTCAAGCAATTCTGCCTCTGCCTCCCAACTAGCTGGGACTACAGGCGCCCACCACCACACCCAGTTAATTGTTGTTTTTAATTTTTATTTTAGGGGAGATGGGGTTTCGCTGTGTTGCCTAGGTTGGTGGCGAACTCCTGAGCGCAGGCAATCTACCCACTTCAGCCTCCCGAAGTGCTGAGATTACAGGCATGAGCCACCGTGCCTGGGATGTTTTCTAAGTATGAAAGCATTCTCTGTGTTCACCCTTCTCACCCTATCCCCGAACCCCAAATGAGTGGTTGCACAGTCCTTGTGGAATCTAAGCTCAAGTTCCATCTGCAGAGTTCTGGTTTTGATCATGAGAGTATCCTGCGTCAGACTAACCCTCCCAACTAAAGTCAACTATAAAAGATAGAAATCTATAAAAATAAAGAAGGACATCCATGAGCAACTGAACAGGTACAATTTGAAACCCTATGATTCCTGCTTAAAAAATGACCAAGGGACTAAAGGCCAAGAAATTAAAATATGCAACATAATAAACACACAGGCAGGTCAAATATTCAAATATTGAGTAGACAACAGGGCAAGAAGCCAATAGAGGATGAGGAGGCCTAGCCCTTCAGCATCTTCGGGCAGTACCCTCCGGCTACCGGGTAAGTAGAGTCAGCCTCAGGGTGACTCTGAGAGGATTTCTATGGAGCTAAGGAAGATTCGGGGGGGAAGTAAAGGATCATTTGGACTCATTCCTACACACCCAACACCCATTTTTTTTTTTTTTTTTTGAAACAGAGTCTCCTTCTGTTGCCCAGGCTGGAGTCAGCGGCTTGATCTCGGCTCACTGCAACTTCTGCCTCCTGGGTTCAAGCGATTCTCCTGCCTCAGCCTCCCAAGGAGCTGGAATTACAAATGTGCAACACCATGCCCAGCTAATTTCTGTGTTTTAGTAGAGATGGGGTTTCACCATGTTGGCCAGGCTGGTCTCGAACTCCTGACCTTGTGATCCACCCACCTCGGACTCCCAAAGTGCTGGGATTAAAGGTGTGAAGCACCGCACCTGGCCCAACACTCATTTTACAGTTGGGACACTGAGTCTCGGATAGGGTTAAGGTTTTCCCAAGGCCGGCTGTAGTTAGTGACCAGCACCTGGCTCTCCCACCTTTTATCAGGGTTAGGGTTCCCAAGGCCGGCTGTAGTTAGTGACCAGCACCTGGCTCTCCCACCTTTTATCAGGGTTAGGGTTCCCAAGGCCGGCTGTAGTTAGTGACCAGCACCTGGCTCTCCCACCTTTTATCAGGGTTAGGGTTCCCAAGGCCGGCTGTAGTTAGTGACCAGCACCTGGCTCTCCCACCTTTTATCAGGGTTAGGGTTCCCAAGGCCGGCTGTAGTTAGTGACCAGCACCTGGCTCTCCCACCTCTTAGTTTTATATGCTTTACTCTGCATCTCACTCAAAAAGGTCACTAGGAGAATTCAGCAAGCATTCTGAAAATTGTTTAGCTTGGTGCCACTAAATGAAAGTTAATTTTGGATTTGAAAATTAAAGTTTCTATTTATCATTCCCTGGTTTTGAGAGTAAGTAACCTTGGAAGACTCACAGATGGACAGTCTGAAGGAGGGGAGGGTGGCCGGGGAGCATCTTTCCTGCTGGGTGCTGGGGGAATGCCCCGATTCCTTACAACATCCCAATTCCATGAGACAGATATTGACATGCTTCCTTTACGGAGCAGGAAACGGAAGCTTGGAGAGCTGAGGGCATATGCCCATTCTTCCCTCTTTATTTACAGAATCCTTTTATTTTTGAGGGAGGAAATGTGCTTAACAAAGAAATTTTCTTTTCCAAACTTTTTTTGCAACCAGGCATGGTCAATAAGATGTAAATGGAAATTGTAGGTCAGGGCTTCTTAAAAAGTTCTCCTGCTTTTTCCTGATCACATAGAAGACGTGATGACTGGAGACCAGTAGTTGTATTACTAGCAGGAAGACGAAAGCCACAGCCTAGGGGTGGCTGAAGAAGGAGATGAAGCCACTATTTTTCATGTTCTATGCTAGAACCAAACACTATTTGTAACTGGTGACATGTATCAGAAGCTTTAGTCTGGCTCAGCATCTGATGAAAAGGCAGGAGGGAGGGTGTCCTTGCCTTGTGCTTACCTGGATTTCTCTGGTGTGCTGTCAAGACCCTCTGGCCTCTCTCGGTTCATTCCCGATGACTCTGTAGAAGGGCAGACTCTATAAATGGCAAGTGATCGCATTGCTGGGGGAGACGTGGCACTGGGTGATAGACAGCTAGGAAGCTGATGGAAAGCCCTTGATTTTACCACATCTATCCAATACATTCAAAGCAAACACTCCTGCCTGGAAGGCTCTGGGGGAATGTCAACAACATATTTGAGTCTGTACATCACGAATGGCATCAGATGGAGAGGTGCAGAGAGCGTGGGGAGGACCGAGAGGGGCTGCAAGTGGGAAGACGGTGGGCAGCTGTCACATTCACATTCAGGCCTGCTCTGAATACTATGCAGCCATAAAAGGTGTCAGTTTGCTGAGAATGATGGTTTCCAGCTTCATCCATGTCCCTGCAGAGGACATGAACTCATCCCTTTTTATGGCTGCATAGTATTCCATGGTGTACATGTGTCACATTTTGATGTGGAGAAATAGGAACCCTTTTACACTGTTGGTGAGAGTGAGCTACTATTATCACAGATGGAGAGAGAGAGACCCAAAAGGGGCTTGGGAGCTGTCCAGTCTCAAACAGCAAGGACAACACCTCCAGACTGGGACAGAAGCCCCTCCTCTAAGTGCTTTTTCTCAGCACCGGATTGACTCTTCATAAACTCATACTCCACAGGAGATTGTGTACCTTCTTGACGGCAGGGACAGGTCATGCCCTCTTCCCCTCTCAGTCCCTCCATCTCCTACAACAGGTGTAGCAGGAGCACATTCCTTGCATGCTGAGGTGGGAGAGGTACTGCTTAGGTCACCTCTGAATTGCCCCACACACGCTTGGCTCAGTTAGATACTCAACAACCTTCCTATTTCTTTGAAAATGCATTTTATTTCTTGCATGTGCTAGCACAGAAATAAGAGTCACGTCTAACAAATAAACATCTATCAAATTTTGACATCCTTTTTCAGCTTTTTTCTCAGTTCCACTTTTTTGCATCATTGTGATTCTAGCTGAGCAAATTCTTAGATCTGTATTTCCACCCAGCTGGAAACTACAGTTATTTTTCAGTTTAAAAAAAAAAATGCTCAGAAAACAGTCTGTCGAGTTGGCGTAACAATGGGCTCCCCAAATTTGAGGACTTTGGCTTTTCCAGTGTGATGAAATTTATTCTACTCCCATTCACAGAGCAAATATTTAAAATAAAAATTTCCATTTGCTGACAAAGATGGAGTGAAATATGTACACTCTGTCATCGTAGTGTAAACAGAAAGATCCAGTTCGGTAAATATTCCATGATATGTTCCTGGGGTCATACAATGTTCCAAGGCATAGAGTCAGCAATTTGGATCCAGAGATATTATCCTGTATAAATCATGCAAACATTGAAAAGGTCCATATGAATGGGCAGCATTGATTTGATGAAATAAAGGCTTCAAAAGAGGCTGCATGAGAGCTGAGTGCTTTACTCTCTGGATAACTTCATGTCTAGTTAGATTTTGCCTTCATTCTTCTCACATATCCCCTGATGGCAGATGACCCTCAACCTCTCAAAGCATCCTCCTCCTCCCCAAAGCCTCCTTCATGGAACACCACTACCTCCAGGAAGCCCTCACCACACCCCTACTTTAAGGTCTGGGCTTGGTGAGAAAGAAGCCAGAGCTGGTCCCAGAGAGGCTCACAGAGGGGAACCCCCCTCATTGGCCATATCAGTCACCAGTGGGGCCTGGTGGCCTTGGCCCTGCCCCCCCCAGCCTGGCATCGTGCACCTAGGAGCCATGCATTTGGTCATAATCCATCAATTTTGTCCTCCATTATCTGTCTCTGGTTAACAGAAAATAATGCAGGTATCCTATACCCCCTAATCCTCGTTTGCTAGGATTTTCCTGCTTATTC